TGGAAGAGCCACAACAAGCCCTTAGAAGAATATCCCACGACAGCTGTTGGACCAGATATAATCCACTACCAATTTTGAAAGTTTACCTAACCTTTTTCTGAAAATGCTTAATAAATGCTTTTTAACTCTATGTGGATATCAGGAAAAATCCCATTCTCTTGGAATGAAGCGGATATAATACCCATTCTAAAACCAGGAAATGACTATAATGAAACCATTAGCCATCACCCTAGAGCTTTAACCAGCTGCTTATGCAAACCAGTGGAGAGGATGGTTAATGATCGCTTGGTCTGTGTACTGTGATCTGAACATCACATAACTAATGCCCAGTGTGGATCCAACAAATGTCGAAGCACCTACGTACCTCTTTTCAGTATTAAAATAGACAGCATTGCAAAAGTCATTGGTTCTGAAGTCCACTGTAGTTTTTATGTAGATGACATCTGTATTTGTTACAGAAGCAAGTGCATGCATAGCACTATAGTGCAAAAAATCCAGCTGAAGAAAAACAAAATACAATCTTGGTCAAAGCAGAACGGTTTCAATTTCTGACAAACAAAAACTACCTTTTTTTCCCGCTCCATTGATTGCACAATGAACTATAGTTGCTGATGGATGGAGTCCCCTTTAAAGTTGTAAAAGAGACCAGGTTTCTCGGTATCACCTTTGACAGCAATCTGTCTTCTATTCCTCACATTGAATTACTTAAATGTTTTAAAGCTATGAATGTTTTCAAGGATTTATCCAAAAGCAAATGACAGAGGTGTCATTTTAAGACCTAATGCATGGATCCATTGTACACATCCCGCTGTTTTTGTTCACTTAAGATGCAACTGACTGTGCTTCTGTTAATAATCACCAGGCCCGGCTATTTGCCGTTTTTGTGTGTAGCATCACTATGAAACTGAATGCGGTGCAATCAACAATTACAGGATAATCTTGATTATCTTGTTTTCATAATTGTTCAAAATCAAATTTGAATTTGATTGCCTTAATGTTGATCATTAGATTTCCCATATTACCCCATGTATCCATGTCGCTTGTTTTAGGGTTTTTTAAGAGACATTTACACCGGCACAATTGGTCTGTAAAATTAATTTCAGGTCCATTGCAATGAATGAGCAGATCTCTAAAATGGTTTTTTTTTTGGGCAGAATCTGACTGAGTTCAACACGGCTCATAACAAGCGCATCTCCACCCTCACCATAGAGGAGGGCAACCTGGATATTCAGAGACCCAAGAGGAAAAGGAGGAACTCCAGAGTGACCTTCAATGAAGAGGATGAGATCATTAACCCAGGTAGAGTGATTAGCCTTAAAAACTTATCTGACCTTTAACTGCACCTCAATCAACCACTGGGTCATCCACAACAGAGCAATCGTTTGGCATAAATGCAAGTTATTCGTTAATTGTGAACTACTCCGAAACCACAAGCTTGTGGAACATGCAACAATGCCATGCTTTGACTTTGATTGAATTAAATGTGATCACTGCATGTTCAATCACTTTTGAAATGTAACAATTACACTTAAGATGTTCTGCAGTTGCTGCTTTTCTGTCCCATAATTTAAGACAGAATTTAAGATTGGCTGTCAATGTTTTTATCATTCAGCAGCTGGAAAAAATCGTTCTGAAAGTGATTCTAACGATATCGTTTCTCTATGCCTTTATCGTTATAGCTGTGGTGTGGACTCTGCTGTTCTTTAATATTGAGAGATTTTTAGAACTATATCTTTATCGTTATCGTGCTTGGTGTGAACGGGCCTTTAGATGTCTTTTTTTTTTTTTCAGATTTAATATTAGTTCAGTTTTTATTTATTTCCAGATAAACTTAAACTTATTTAGTTGCCAAAGCTTTAGTTGTTTGTTTTATATTTTATTTCAGCTTTATTTCTGTTTATTAATGCCATTAACCCCCCCGCCCCCCCAAATCATTCAACTACTTTTGTGACTTGAGGCATTTAACAATGTTTGTGTTGTTAACTCTTTTAGAGGACATCGACCCCTCTGTTGGACGTTTCAGAAACATGGTCACAACAGCTGTGGTTCCTATTAAGGTAACTTCTCAAGTCATTCAGTCATTTATGCAAAAAAAGAGAGATTGATTTACATGTTTACATGCTCCTGTTTGTTTACCCAACAGAAGAAGAAAATGGGCGGAGGCAATGCGCTGGGAATCGAGGAAACCATGACCCGACACATGCACATGTTCCCTTTGCATGGTGGACTCTACAGAGACCTTCCCCCGGCCAGTCACGAAGCTCAATCCACAGGAGCGCCCGGCGGAGCCACAATCCTGGGAGGACTGCCGTTACCCCTGCCCAACCCGGCCCCGGATGTAGACCTGGCCCAGGAGGCCCCGCCGGCTCCGCTCGTGCTCAACCCCACGCCGCTACCCAGCCCCTACGTCTCCGACCCTCTCAGCGAACCCCGCAAGAAGAAGTACGCTAAAGAGGCATGGCCTGGCAAGAAGCCCACGCCGTCTCTGCTCATCTAGCTGCTTATTACTAATACAAGACTCTTCTGTACTCATGAACTCTATCTTGAAGAATCTGGCAAACAGACTTTGATTTCAACTGCGCTACAAGTATCTGATTTAATGCAAGAAATCTGTAATTTTTAAAAGAAGATCTTTCCTCCTAAAATGAGCATTGGCTCACTCTCATGTCATTCCAGATGCATAGTACTTTCTAAATTCATTGAAATGCAAAAGGAAGAATGTCCTCATTTGCACAGTTCAGTGAAAAAATTCAAAAAAGAAGTGCATTTTGACTTATTTCGCTCTGTTCCTCACACGGAATAATCTGGTCTTAATCATTCATTTTTGTTTTGTCAAAAGAGCTGCTTGGACGTTGTGCATTAGATCTTTTGTGTTTCATAGGAACGTTGCAATGACATGAGGGTGAGTAAATGACGTAATTTTAATGCATTTTGATTGATCTATTTCTTTAAAATGCCTGCTTGAACGTGAGAACCGAATGAAAAGCAAACACAAGTACATAACCTGATCCAAACAGCAAAATGTGTCATGTTTAGCCTAAGATGGCAGGGGGGTTAACTTTTATAGTGTACTCTCTTTGGTTTTTTTACTCTCTTTACTATTTGTTAAATGTGAAGTTGTTTCAAACTAGCTGTTTGGCCATCGCACTTCAACATGAGCATCATTAATGCAGATGGTAGATCTGGTAGATCTTCCACAAACCCTGTATTTGGTTTCAAAACTGATGAAGTTCTGCAATATTGTAACACTTTACCTTGTGAAGATCTTTTTCCTCTGCTGTTCCGCACTGTATTAGTTTCATACACTTGTTCCCCTTAATATACAAACCGAGGGCAGCAGCGTTTCAAATGAACTGTTAGTTGATGGTTCATCAGGGCTCAATGTATACGGTCTTCACTGTTAAAGAGAGAAAGAGAAAAATGTTTTATACTCATGTTCTGTTTGGTGCATTTGATGTTTGTACATATCATTCACAATAAAAGCCAGTGTATTTTTATATATTTAAACTGATGCCAGAAGTCTTTACCTTCGAATAGAGGGTGGCTGCTCATCCTATTTTATATTCATGACTGAGCTGTTAATTTCTCCACAACTGGTTTGACTACCAATCAAGATGTCCGCTGCCATGTGATTTATGGTTCAAGACCATAATGCTGATTATCAGAAGTTGTCCATTCTGGCCTTTCATTGCTACAGCATGCCTTTACTTTACAAAAGCACGTTCCTGACAGGAACAGACACTATTATTTTTACATATACAGCTGCAAGCAGCAATTATGGGCCTAGTACAATACACATACACCAGAAAGAGTAGTTTGCAATACCAGCGATGAATTTAGGTAGTTACCTTGACAGACGGTAAGTTCAGTGTCAATATACAAAACCTTTGCAGTTTCACTTCCTGTTCTTCATCAGCATACTTTATTTCTGGATACTGATGTCAAACCACAAACCTGCATTTGGTGGCTTTTATGAGGCTTTGGTTTGTCTATGAAAGGAGACACTTTCAATTAGACATGTTTTGCCAAATAAATTAAAATAGAAATAAAATACTTTTTTTTTTTCTTTCTGTTAAATTCTGCATTCTTGTGTATTAAAATACACAAATTGATTCAACGACAAAAAAAAAACTGGTTCATTGACATTTACATGATATCCATGACTTCTCTGATTGGTGCATCTCTCTTAAGGATTGTGGGAAGTGTGGTTTTTCACCAGAAATGTAAAAATACAGAATCAAATAAGTTAAAATCACTGACTTCTACATGGCCATATACCATCTCTTAACCTCAGCTCATCCAGTACTGAAGGTTTATTGAAAGATTATATTTCTCTGAGGGCAGAATAAATGGGATTTTTACATCCGGATACTTTCTGTTGTGCTTTCCTTACAGGAAATTATTTGTATTTCTTCGTTTCACACTGCAGAGCATGCTGCCCACTTCTGCTTTTTACTTCTGTCCTGCGCTAATGAGACATGATTATTAGAAAGCCAAATGAATCTATTTTAATCAGGCTTTAAATCCTTGTAACATGCTACTCCAGATGTGTTTTTTATATGAATCATA